AGAGTGGAGCCTGGGACCCCAGCAACCCCAACACACCTTCCAGGTAACACACACACAGTTTATTGTGTTCATTTTAAGTGTGTACCTTGTTTTTGTTTTATATACCTATTTATCTTCTCTTCTCAGAAACGAAGAGGAGTACGACTTCGGCTACGACGACGAGCCCTCCCCGTCCCCGCAGGGCTACACCGGGACCCCCAACCCCCAGACCCCGGGTTACCCAGAAGTCCCGTCTCCACAAGTCAACCCTCAGTACAACCCTCAGACACCTGGCACGCCTGCGATGTGAGAACACACAAATATTAAGACATGATGGAGCTGCTGTTATTCTCCACAGTTCATGTCCTATTTTTTGGAATGAAGATGATAAGAATTAGTCCAATACTAATAGCTTTAGTACCAAAATGTTGGCCTCTATCAAAGATATGCTGTTTAGATTCTGCTAATAAATAGATGGAAAGATATTTGGAGTACACTGTTCTCAAAATGTTTCCCTTTTCTCAGAGAAAATGTTGTGAACTCGTTTGAACATCTGTGTTTGTGTAGGTATAACACAGAGCAGTATTCTCCCTATGCGGCCCCGTCCCCTCAGGGCTCCTACCAGCCCAGTCCCAGTCCTCAGAGCTACCACCAGGTCGCGCCCTCACCCGTCGGCTACCAAAACACACACTCTCCAGCCAGCTACCATCCGACACCCTCCCCCATGGCTTATCAGGTAGGACATGGTTGCATAATAATCTCAAAATGTTTTTAGAAATGTTCTTAAAAATGAAAAATTTGTCACTATTGATTATTCTGCAGATAATTTTCTCGATTGCTCAATTTAGATGTTTTGTCCAGAAAATGGCCAAGGGGATGCAAAGATATTCAGTTTACTGTCAGAGGACAAAATAAACCAGAAAATATTCATTCTCATTTCTCATTAAAATGACTCATCATTTGGCAAAATAGTAATTTCCTATCTGACAACCAGTTTGATTGATCTTGGCGGTAGGGGAGGTCATTGTGAATCAAATCTTAAACCACATGTGGTGTCAGAAACTTGCTTACAAGGGAAATTTGGGCCAGATATACTGCCTTTTGACTCTTCGAGTGAATTTAATATTAATCCAAGCACTTTTTCACCTTGATAAGATAAAGAGGAACAAGCTTCCAAATTCATGTTCTGCCAAGAAGCAGCGAGAAAAAACACAAACTCACTGCTTGAGTTGAACTTTGAGTCATTGTAAATTTGACTCGTTTTGCTTCCACAGGCCAGTCCTAGTCCGAGTCCTGTGGGCTACAGTCCCATGACACCCGGAGCGCCCTCTCCTGGAGGTTACAACCCTCACACCCCGGGCTCCAACATCGAGCAGGGCGGCAGCGACTGGGTGACCACCGACATCCTGGTTCGGGTGAAGGACTCCTTCATGGATCTGATGGGGCAGACCGGGGTCATTAGGAGTGTCACGGTAACAAACCCCAATCTATTACATCATCAAATCGGTGTTCAGACGTAATGAAATGTTTACACAACTGACGTTTGAATGGTTGTTTCCATTGGCAACAACATCACACTACAAAGCTTTCTAATTGGAGTCTTGAAGTCGTTGTGGTTTTCACACTGATCAGTATCCGCCAGCAGTGATTGTGCATTCAGTTATCTGGTGAAACATGTTCTTCCCAGTACAAGAAGACGTCTAAACAGTCTAAAAACTCAAAAACATTCAGTTCACTGCGATATAAAACAGGGAAATGGCAGCAAATCCTCACACAGGAGGAAGGAAACGGATGCTGCTCAATTTATCAATGAAGAGAGGAAATTTGGATGACCAGAGCAAACTGGCTTCACTGAACGGCAGCAGGACTGACTCACTGAGGAGTCTGGGAACACTTAATGTAAGTGAACCGCAGGCGATTTCCAGAGAATATTCCCCACGTGCCAAAGAGCGGTCACATCCAGTTTCAAACCTAAGAAAGGAAAAATGTAATTCAGGTCGTACTGAAATCCTCGAAGACTCCAGTCTATGAGAACTCTTTAGAAAGCCTTCCGTGTGCTGACGTGGTTCTCAGGTTTCAGACTGACATGTGAAGGCCTCACAGATGTGGTTACAGATGTGGTTACAGATGTGGTTACAGATGTGGTTACAGATACACCTGATATTTTTCCAACAGAACAGACAAACTTGTCTGCTAACTGATGACCATATTAATTTTGACAGACACATCAGCCGAGGGCCACTATCATTGTTATTATCATAAGAGCCATTATTCTGTTCTGTTTTGTGAAAATGAACTCTGAGTAGTCCTCTGAGACAGGAGCTGTGAGCTCAGTTGGAAACTGTCAAATTCAGAACAGTTTCCTTAATTTACGCTCTCTCTCTCTCTCTCTCTCTCTCTCTCTCTCTCTCTCTCTCTCTGAAAAAAACTGGGATTGTTATTGTCCTCGTCTCTGAAGAGTTTTCTCTTGAGCAACACTGCAAATAAAACCATTTACTGTCTTTTAAGACAAAAAAAAGAAAGAAATCCTCATTTCAGAAGCTGGAAACAGAGAATTGTTTTTACATTTTTGCTTGAAATTATTAATCGATTATCAAAACAGTTGCTGATTGAAGTTTCTGAGAGTTGACTAGAAAAAACTGGAATTTTAGAGACGAGTTTGAAACACCTGGAAACATAAAAATGACTAAATATCCTGGAAATAATCACCTAAAAGTCCTGAAAAATGCTGTTAATAATAGTGTGTGTGTGTGTGTGTGTGTGTGTGTGTGTGTGTGTGTGTGTGTGTGTGTGTAGGGGGGGATGTGTTCAGTGTTCATGCAGGAGTCAGAGAAGGTGGTCAGTGTCAGCAGTGATCACCTGGAGCCCGTCACTCCCACCAAGAACAACAAGGTAACTGTTCGTCCTTCACTTCCATCAGAGTCCATAAGCCCCGCCCCCTTCTGCTCTGTGCTCCAATCACAGTTGAGCAAGCCTCGGTCAGCTTAGATGTACTTAGATATGCTGTATGCTAATCTATGTTGAAGCTGGTTAAAAGATAACAAGTGTTAGCAAGCTAGTTGTATCTGAAAGCTACAGCTAAAGATGTTGTTGGATCACAGAGCAAAAAGGGGCGGGACTTAGGAATGATCAATTACAAATTAAGGCCACACATCAGTAGTTTTACCCTACTAACGAGTGTTATTCCTCATGTTAAGTGTTTGACACTGCGCAGTGATGGTTTTATTTTACTTTAATAACATATTTTATATTTATATTTAAATGAACCCATAAAATAATAAATGTGTTCCTCTTTTATGATCTTCAATAACTCTTAAATCATTAATGTGAGCAGCAGGTCAAACAGTACCTGGACATAATAAAGCTCAGTTATTAGATATTGATTATGTGATGTGGCCAAAAGTATGTGGACATCCTATCTGGGTCAGTTTCTCCTGGTTTGGGTCCATTAGTGACATTTTAATAGCACACAGGTGTCCCATGCATCCTGGAAACACCTGGAAATGGAATAAAATGACCAAATATCCTGGAAAAATAACCTCTGTTGTCCTGGAAAACTGTACCGCGGTTTAACCCCTCACTCAGATCGCCTACATATTTACGTACGTCTTGTTGTTGTGGTTAATAAACACAAACACAACAATGTCACCTGAACTTGCAACAAACATTTTGTACTTCTTCTTCGTTTTGTTTTTGGGCTGCGGCCACAGAAACGTTCCTGTAGTGAAGTGTCGCGAGTTCACCGACGATGTGACCATTTTTGTCCCCGTGCTCTCCAGGTGAAGGTGATTCTGGGAGAAGACCGCGAGGCGACGGGGATCCTGTTGAGCATCGACGGCGACGACGGCATCGTCCGCATGGAGCTGGACGACCAGCTGAAGATCCTCAACCTGAGGTTCCTGGGACGCCTCGAGCACTGAGAGACAGGAGGGACGGACGGAGGGACAGAAACTCAAACACAGACACACAGGAGAGGACTGTCAGGAGAATATTGACTGTATTATCTCACAGACGCAGGCAGACAGGTTTTTATTACTTTAAGCAGCAGAAACACACACAGACAGACAGCAGTCTCTCTCTCTCTCTCTCCTCCCTCTCTCTGTCCTCTGTTCCTTTTTGTTTTTTTGTTTTTTTTTATTTTTCATTAGCTTTACTGTTTTCTTAGCAGTGGTCCGACTCTGTTTTTAGTGCTTTCTGAATGTTCTGTCAGTACTTTTGGTTTTCTGGGTGGGGGAGGGTTAAAAAACTAAATGTATCACGTCAATAAACTGTGTACCAGTTGATCTGTGTGTGTGTGTGTGTGTGTGTGTGTGTGTGTGTGTGTGTGTGTGTGTGTGTGTGTGTGTGTGTGTGTGTGTGTGTGTGTGTGTGATCATATTCAGAGGTTAGAATGGTGGATGGACGCTGATGTTTCTATACAAAAGGAATATTAATCTGAATAGAGTGAACTTAAAGTATCTCTTATTATAAAACACTAACTTCTTAACTTCAAGCAATAAATAAAGGTCTGATCTGAAGGGCGGAGTTATATAATGTTGGTAGGGAAAGTTGTGATAAATAATCAATTTATTTATAGAGCGCTTTTTCTAGAAACTCAAAGACATTTCACGAGTTAAAAAGGAAAAGCTAAAAACAACCCACTAAGAAATTACAGCTATATCTACAACAGTCACCAATAATTCATTGTTAAAATCATTAAAAGCTGTTCTGAAAAGGGTGGTATTGATCAGTGATTTGATGTCGGATAGATCCCCCCAGGTACGATGCTGGGACAACTTTATCTATTTAACAACTTTATTGTCCACTATGTAGAAATCTGTCTTCAGTTTCACCTTCAACCACCTCCTATAAACCATAACAACATCCTAAATCCAACTCAATAAACAGCTTCCACTGGCGTCCACCATCTTCTGTGGATGGGAACATTTATTTTAACATTTTCAGTCCGTTAACAGTTTGATGGAAACACTAATTTGTGTCGGTCTGTCCAACTGAACCTTTAGAAACAGCAAACAATGAAAGGAAGTGTAAAATGTCTTTAATCGATGGGTTCAGAGACAGAAAATGAAACAAACACTGAACTTTAAAGTATTAATATAATTAGTTGGACTGTTCCACCTTTGATGGAGGTAGACTTCCTGTAGCCCGATGAAGACGCCACTGTGGGGCTTCTGTCAGCCGCAGGGCCGCTGGGGATGCTGGTGGTCTATGGGGAAGTAGTAGAAAGGGACCTGAGGAGGGCAGGGATGCCCGTGGGAGGAGCTCCATCCTGGTCCAGACCAGGACGCCGGGGTCCCGTCAGCGTCGCCGTGGTGATGACAGCCGACAGTTAGGTTGCGAGACAGAGGGATCTTCACCTGGAACCAGACCTCTCTGCCCTGAGGGAGGAGGAGGATGAGGAGGGTGAAGAACCACTGGTACTGCCAGTACGTCTGTTTTACAGTAACTCCGTTGTACCAGTAAATTCAATCAGCTTTAAATTACAGCTTACGCAATACGAGTCCATTCCAATCGCCAAACACGAGCATTTGGTGGTCATTATTCACAAATAACACACAATACAACATAAAGAGTGTTACAATAAAGAGGTCTAGCTGTTCAATTACAGAAATAAAAATGTGTTCCTGGACAGGAACAGTTGGAGAGGACTTATTAAAACCACATGGAGCTCAGGAACAGATTGTTAAAAACATGAGTCATTTTTAAATCCTTCAAAAACAATATTCATGTCTAAAAACAATGAAACATATTTTGGTCTTGGCTTTGTTCATTCAGCCTGTTTATTAAAATACTTCCTTCCAAACATCCTTTAATGTAAGTGCTGAGAGACCAAATCCACAGGCCTCATCCTGTCAGAAAATACATTCAACAATGTATCTGAAAGACACAGAACGACCTCAGAGACGCAAAAAGACCTCAAAGAGATGCAAAACTACCTCAAAGAGACGCAGAACGACCTCAAAGAGACGCAGAACGACCTCAAAGAGACGCAAAACGACCTCAAAGAGATGCAAAACGACCTCAAAGAGACGCAGAAGGACCTCAAAGAGACGCAAATGACCACAAAGAGATGCAGAACAACCACAAAGAGACGCAGAACGACCACAAAGAGACGCAGAACGACCACAAAGAGACGCAAAACTACCTCAAAGAGATGCAGAACAACCACAAAGAGACGCAGAACGACCACAAAGAGACGCAGAACGACCACAAAGAGACGCACACCAAGAGACAACCACAAAGAGATGCAGAGCGACCACAAAGAGACACAGAACGACCACAAAGAGACACAGAACGACCACAAAGAGACGCAGAACGACCACATGGAGAATGAAAATCGGTTTGTGGCTTTTTCAGTCAGAGGCACGTCTCATAATCTGCATAGATAATATTTGGAGTTACAAATAGGAGCTATTTATTGATTATTTATTTATTTATGAAGTAAAATTTATTCCTGCCGAGAACCAGGGCTTTAAGTTCCAGTCTGAGCATATTATAAATGTGTGTTTAACTCTGCCCCACAAACTCCCTTTAGAGAAAGAAAGAAGAGAAAACAGCCCAGTGAACTAGATCAATAAATAAAACCAACAGCAGGAATCTTGGCGTGATGAAACATTCTGGCCACCAGTAGCTGAGAAATTTGGATGACAGTGAGGTGACTTTTGGATGGACTCACGGACCGACTGCTGGACGTCCATCAGTCGGCTCTGACGGCGACTGAACCGATTAGTGCAGCGCTGACTCGTAGCGGCGTCGGTATGTATCTGGAGGTTTTTTCGGGCTGTCTGGTACAGTTTTACTGAACCCCCCCAGAGTGAAGTGTTTGTGTGTTCTCACAGACCGGCTCCAGAAGCTCACAGGCTGATATTGTTTGGAAGTCAGCGTGTGATCAAAGCTGTTTTGATGGTTACTATGAGTCTTTTTTTCTTTTTCTATGAGCCCGATACAGCGAGCAGCTTCAGGAACTCGGGGACAGATGTAAGGGGGTGTAGATGTGGGCTTAAAAAGATTTCTGTTTATCTTTAATAGTTCTATGGAAATGTCGTTGAGTCCCCCGGTTTGGTCGGTACGGTCAGTGTTTCGTATTTATGTGCAGCAGAACTTGTTCTCTTGCTATTGGAGGCTGTGGGGTAAACCTCTGAATGTGGAAACAACTCTGACTGAAGGAGGTTCTGGACGCCAGCGCTTCTCGCTGCCCATCTGGTTTGCATTAAGTTGTTTGTCAGAAAACGAGTTGGTACCGTTATAATACTTGTGACAGGAACCAGAGAAAGCCTCAAACCTGCACATCAGAAGGAAGCAGCACCAGAAATACCTTAAATATTGTTCGAATTTGTGTTAAGTTTCAGTTGTAAAGATAATAATTAGACGTGACTGGAGCACAGAGCAGCGTAGGACAGACAGAAGATCTCACCTTGTCGTCTGTGACACACTGGATCTCAGGTTTGTCTCCCAGATGTGGATCCAGGACCTGATGAACCTCCTCGACCTGCACAGACACAGGAACACAATCTATGAATCTATAACTGAACTTTAAGAGCAGGACACAAACAAAGAAAGACATTAATGCCAGAGAAGGTAAAAGTGCGTCCAGCAGGGCTGTTGACAGGCTGCTAGTCCCTCACAGTGGACGCAGTGGAGGAGGTTGGACCACCGTCGGACCGCCGTCTAACCAAACACGCCGGAAATAAACTAATGTGTAAAGTTTCCTGAATTTACAAGAAGGCCCAACGAATGAACAATCTGTCGTAGGAAACGTTTCACACAGTTTATAAAGTTCCTCCTCCCTCATTAACTCTAAAAGTGTGAGATTTATTAACAGAGTCTGGTGATACTGCGGATACAAACTGCTGCTAATCTCTGCAGGTGAAAGAGCTCCAACACATCGTTTACACCACGTGAACCAAACAGCGAGTTCCTGTGTGACAGGATGTCAGTGAGTGGGCGATCCTTCGGACTTTGGTGTGGTCAGATGCATCCCAGACCACCTCAGGACGTAGTTTGACTGATGGGTTCAGGATGCGTTACAGTGGTCGTTCACACTGTGTTTGCAGCTGTCTGCCTGTGATCTGATTACCCAGGATGCATTCTGGGACCAGCTGTAAACGGGCTCGGGGGGGGGCAGAATTAAGTGTGTAAAGAAGGCGCATTATTCTTTATATTCACATTAGGAGTTGGAGGGGAGGAAGGATGCTGGAAGTATTTACTCTCCACTGAGCGAGTGCTGTCCCACTCACTTTGCTGGTCATTAAATAAAAGCCATTACCCATAATCCTTCCTGTTTGCATTTCAAAGTCAAATAATCCAGCAGGTGAAAGTTACCTTGTAGGGTCGCTCACAGGACGGAGTGATTCCAGCGTCCTCCAGCAACCTGCAGCACAGACGACACTTTACTGAACCCCACAGTGGACGTACGGTGTGTGAAAGGTTAGGAAGCAGTCACAGTTACAGTGCGGTGGAGTGAGTACTCCTTCTACTTACATACGTTTACTTAAAGGACCAGTGTGTAGGATTTAGTGGCATCTAGTAGTTACAGATTACATAGATTATAAAATATTATATATTCTGCAAGTAGATCCTCCTAAATGTTACACACTGAACCTTTTAATTCATCTCAATCAATATACGGACTGATGGTACTTTCATAAACTGTCGGGTTCGTTTCATTTATAACAAAACATATTTTATAAACTGTGTGTGTGTGTGTGTGTGTGTGTGTGTGAGAACTAACTTGTGGAAATCGAACTGTCCTCTCAGTTTCAGGGAGATCTGGAAGTATCTCAGCGGAGAGTTCATTCCTTCCACACAGGCTGCACACACACCGTGTTTCTGCCACTCCTCCCCCCTGACGCACATTAAAGCACATCAGTGCCAACATAGCAACATGCTAACACCAGGACTGGCCAGCAAATATTTCCTCTTTTTTCTTACAGTGAAGTCTAACTGTCGCCAGTCTCTCAGTAAGTGTTTGTGTCTTTAAATCAACTTTCTGGACAACATCCTGGAAAAGCTGGAAACGTACTGGTTTCCCAGTCATGGAATTGGAAATAGATTAAAAGAAGAAAATATTCTGGAAATGTTTGTATTTTAGCCGCTCAGGTCACATAAACTTTGGTCCGTATATAGCTTGAAACTCGGCAGAAACTGAACCGTTCACACAGGCTCACCAGATGTAAAGAGGAAGTGACTGCAGTGATCTTTTCCAGCATGCTGTTAGTGAATGCATACGGCCTATTCATGATCAGACTTCCTGCTGCTGTGGATCATAAGTACACACACTGATGGTAATTGAAGACTTTAGCTCTCTAAAAGATGAATTTTCTGTAAAATAAAAGGAATAAAAGTGGATCTCAACTGTTGCTGATGAGCTTTTAGCAGCGTTTGTGAGCAGGCGCTGTCCTGTATTGTCAAGAAAAGAGCGGGAACCTTGGTTCTGCGTGCGTTTGGTGATATTTCGTACCAGAAGTGGAAGCTGGATTTTGTTTTCAGGAAGGACGGCCAGTGTTCAGTCAGCTCTGCCTCCAGCTCCTGGAAGAACGGGGACATGGATCAGCATCTAGTCCTGTAATGGGGGACGTCTCAGGTGAGCTGATGCTGACCGGGACTCACCTGGATGTCTGAGTGGAACATCGGCCAGCAGCTGCAGCAGTTCATCGCCCGGTAAGGCCTGCGGACGCAAACGCACCATCAGCGTGAGGACATCAGACAGCAGGAGTCCAGCTCAGGGACACAGTGTGCTGTTTGGTTTGAAAGGCTGACAACGATTCAGTCGGTTCACTGAGGGAAACATTTGTTCTGCTGTCTCTATGCTAGCACACTGCAGAGGTCAGTGAACTGGCTCAGCGGACTGGAGCAGTGTTACGCCTCTGATCAGGGAACAAAGGCGCGAACCTGCGGTATCGCAGTCCAAACAATCACATCAATCATGAGATGAATGCCCCTTTTTATTTATTCAAAAGAACCAAAAAAAAACCAAACTGATGGTAGAAATAAACACTGGAACAAACGTCAGCAGGACGAGGACGAGTGACAGAAACCATCTTTGGGAAACATTTATGTTAGTTTGTCCCGTCTGCTAACGTGGAGGCTTTACAAATAGCAGCAGATTTGTAGACGAGGGTATCTCAGGATAACGCTGTTTGTCACAGTATTGCACACTTACATTGTGATTTCAATAATGTTTCTATTAATTATGTAGTTTTAGTTTTTAGGCTCATTTTGATATGAAATTATAGGATGAAGTCAAAAAATATTTTGACATTAAAATCGAAGGTAATTTGTTTCCAGTGGGAATAAAACCGCTAACAGTTTGGTGACAGAACGGACAGAGCTCCAATGAAGTGTCTTAAACCTGCATTCTGTGTAATGTCCAGCAGGGGGCAGCTCCACGGGTTGCAAAAAAGAAGCCTAATAGTATTGAGTCTTATGGAGAAATGAGTTGATTTCTCAGCTGATTGATGAGCTCAGTAAACAGTTTCCTGATGAGTTTCTGGTCTCAGTCTCTAGTTTCAGTCTTCTTCCATACAGCATGATGTTCATTTAGTAACTGATGGTCCCATTGAGAGGAAAACATAAACCATCTTTTACTGTTTATCTGGAATACGAGATATTAAAGATCATTAATGCAGCTGGTATTTACCACAGACCGTGGATCGTCCAGTTGTTGATGCTCTGAGGGATCAGGCAGAGATTCCCTTTATCCAGAGACTGCAGACAGACAGGCAGACAGACAGACAGACAGACAACCTGTCAGAATGTCTTTATTTCCTTCCCTACCTCATCCTTTACCCTCTTAATTTCCTTACAGCTTTCTTTACCAAGTTTCCTCCCTCCTTACCTTCCTTATATACTTCCTCCTTTCTTTCCTGCTTCCTCTTTTCCTTCCTTACCTTCTACTTAGTCTTCCTTTTTTCTTTCCTCCCCTAGCTCATCCTTTTCTGTCTTTATGTCCTCACTTAGTTTCCTCCTTCTTTACCACCTCCTTACCTTTCCTTCTCTCCTTTCTTTCCTTTCCAACCTCATAATTTTCCCTCTCAATTTTCTCCTTTACTTAGCTTCCTTTTTCCTCATTTCTTTCCTACTTCTTATTTTCCTTCCTTACTTTCTACTTTGCTTCCTTATTTCATCCTTTTTCCTCTTGGAGTCCTTGATGTCCTTTTTTAGTTTCCTGCTTCCTTACCTCCTCCTTTCCTTCCTTACTTCCTCCTTGCTTTCCTGCTTCCTCTTTTCCTTCCTCCCCTCCTCTTTCTCTCCACTCACAGACTAATGCCTCCATCTTGTCCACCATTTAGCATTAGTATTAATGATGATGAGGAGGAGGAGGAGGATGAAGCTCACCTGACAGAACCCTCCGGGCCACTGCAGCGTGAACAGGATGCATTTCCAGGAGCAGAAAGGCTTCTTGTCGGAGCCCTGGCGGCCATATTTGTAGTCCTCCCAGTGTGCTTCCTGTGTGGCGGCGCAGTCAGGAAGCTGCAGCAGGAACAGAACCGCAGGACTCAGACTGAACAGCGGGGGCAGCACCGAGCGCCACATCTCCTCAATGATCGGAACTGATCGAACACCAAACAGAAATCAATAAATCAATACAGCTCCAACCAGACACAGACTACTTTATTTCAACAACAGAGGAAGTGTGAAGAGGCGGCGAAGCAGCGTGGGATCATGGGAGTTATTCCATCTTATACAATGATAATAATATTGTAGCTGAGGGTTTTTTTATTGTCTTTACAGGAACATTATCAATTTAATCACTTTTGGTACCTTTCACAATAAGAGCCTCGGACACAGGCTCAATCAATATCTTACATTCTGGGTACATTTATTCCTCGTTGTTATACACAGATAAGATTACAGAGAGTGTGCTGAGGTAGGTTTGATTTACCTGTGAACATAACTTTAGTAAATATTTGTTTTAAATAATCTTGGCTGCAAGTTAGCAGATAAATGGAAACTTTAGTGAGACTGAACCTGAATATTTCCTTTTATAAACTCTTCAAGGGTCTAAATAATGGACTTAACATTGTTCTCTAATGAAAATCAATGAATGTGATGGGTTTTAAATTTTGTGTTGTAAAGAAAAAGTCTGTTTATTGTCCTTCTTTCTTCTTGTTTGTCTTTGTTTAAGTCTATATTTAGTGTTTTTCATAGTTTATGCACATGAATTTACAGGAACACATAAGACAATAATGAGTAACATAATAATAACAATATTTCCATTATTATATTATTATACTAATAAAATTATTGGCAAAAAAAGAGACAGAGGTTATACAAAGCTTATCAAACTAAAAATGCAATAGCCGACAATATCTGTAATAACAATGAAATATATCACAAAAGTAAACAAAAATACAAATAGTACAAATAAAATGACATAAATAAAATACGACATAAATAATAAATAAATAAAATAAAACTGGTTGTTAATCATGTCCCAGTTAAACAAACAACATATCAAATATTTAAAACAATGTGTTTGCAATGCAAGAGTTTCAAAGTAAAGCGTCTGAATGTGGAGTGTATATTTTACCTCCCTGACAGCAGTTTAATTAAACCGATAATCCGGTTGATGTCTGTCTCTGCTGAGCGTCCGGTGTCCCAGTTGGAGGAAAGATGTTTGATAAACTTACCGGAGAGCTGTCGCTGCCTCACTGAGCTGCTGTTGAAACTTCACTTGACACCGTTTGGGCAAAAAAAAGGAGAAGTGAAACCGAGACCGAGATCTCAGAATCAATGTGGGTTCATGTGTCTTTAGAGGAAATAGACTTTTACCTCTGACGCACCTGCAGATTTATCACGAGACCAAAAACAGGAATTATCTGTACGACCAAAATCTAAAATAAGATCAAACAGGACAATGTGGATTATCTACAGTTCTCACTGGCAGAGGTCAGTTGTTAATAAGATTTATGGGCTCCAAATTATTTAATTTCCTCTATAAAATGTTATAATATATATATTTATTTAAATCTTTAAATAAAATATTTTACTTTTATGGTTAAGCTTTTATTTGCTTCAATCGCTGCCTCTTTATGAGACAGGCCTTCATATCAGACAGGCCTCTATATGGGACAGGCCTCTATATGGGACTGGCTCTTGCTCAGCACAGATGGAAATACTGTCAGATTGTTTATTTAAACAAGTATTACTTTAGGCTATGAAACAACTCTTCCATTAGGAATCATCTGATGCTGAATTTCTATAAAATGCAGACCAGGCCTCTAATGGAGACCACCAGGCTAGTAAAGGAGACCGTCTCCTAACTGAATTTTTACAGTACATACGTGCAACACAGACTCATAGACATACATTTCCTGCTTTTACATTGTTATAGTCATTATTGTTGATTGTTTTCAAGCACTTTATGACGAATATCGCTGCCTCACTTGTACATAGAAAACTATCCACATTCATAAGCTTCAATCTGAGCCCAAGATGAAGTTCCTGTCTTTAAAATGACTCCTGCTGTAGATGAAATGATTCACTGTAGCTGAACACTTTTCAAGTAAATGGCTATTAAATAAAACAACAAATCTTAATAAAAGAAGGAAGAAATTCAATTCGTAACATCTGTATACAGAAGATGAAATTAAGTTTAAATAATAATAACAAATAATAATTTTAACTTTATTCAGATAAATTCTGTGAACATGTTTTAAATATGTGTGGAGAATATGATTGTAATTTACTTATACTATACTTACTTAATTAACTTATACTTAAATTAACTTAACTTATCCCTGAGTACAGGGACCTGGTTGACTGCTTTGTGAAGTGGTGTGGGGAGAACCACCTGCAGCTGAACGTGGCAAAGACAAAGGAGATGGTGGTGGACTTCAGGAGGAACAAGCCCCTGCCCTCTCCTGTCAGCATCGGTGGGACCGATGTGGATATGGTGTCGTCTTGGGTGTCACACTAGACAATAAACTGGACTGGTCCACTAACTCAGAGGCTGTCGACAAGAAGGGCATGAGCCGGCTTTACTTCCTGAGGAGGCCCAGGTCCTTCAATGTCTGCAACAGGATGTTGCAGATGTTCTATCAGTTTGTTGTGGCGAGCACCATCTTCTTTGCTGCGGTGTCCTGGGGTGCGGGCATCAAGGCAAAGGACGCCAACAGACTGAACAAACTCATTAAGAAGGCCGAGTCTGTTGTTGGCTTGAAGCTTGTCACCCTGGAGGAGGTGGTGGAGGAGAGGACGCTGGCAAAACTGCTGGAAATCAAGACAATCCCTGCCACCCTCTCCACACAACAAGCTAAAGAGCAGCTTCAGCAACAGACTCTCTGACCCCTCTGCAATAAGACTATAATAATTAACTGAATCAGCTGCTATAACACTATAATTTCCCTTTGGGGATAAATAAAGTATTCTATCTATCTATCTATCTATCTATCTATCTATCTATCTATCTATCTATCTATCTATCTATCTATCTATCTATATCATAGATAGATAGATAGATAGATAGCATAGATAGCATATTCAGCTCCTCACAAACAGAACAGAGACCTGTGTTGTTGGAATCGAAGCCAATGAACCCCCAGGAAACATCGTATAGTGTCGACATTTTTAGATTCTTTCAGGCCCAGAACCTCCTGCAGCATAGCATCAGTAACAATATGTGCGACTGCTCTGTGAACAGTGAACTCAGTAGGAAAACGGTGGTCATTATTATTCTAACAAAACAGATCATAACTGGCGACCTATTGCAGCTCCGCTCAGATCCAAACTGCCGCTCTGAACAGCTGTCAGCTTCCTGCAGTCGTCCACTAAAAACACAACAAGTGCATTAAAATAAAATTAAAATCTAAAGAACATGACTAACAATGCAAACAAAGTTAATGATACAGCTCCCTGTTGCACAGGCAGACGGTTTGGCCTCTGCAGCCAATCGTAGTTTGGCAGAGATTCAGAAATACTGATACTGTGTGTGTTTATGTGTGTGTGTGTGTGTGCGCATGTCCTTCCAGGGTTGAAGTGAGGCAAAGCCGCTCGACACACAACCGCCAACAGACATGAATCACCTACTGGTAACTACAGCTCTTATTTCTCACTTTTTCCTCTCTGGGTTTGAGTCTCTGGAGCCTCTGCAGCAGTTTGAGGGAGCAGAGGAGCAGAGGAGGAGAGGAAGAGCAGACTGAAGGCAGATTAAAATGTGTTTGTGTGGGACGAAGGCGAAGGTGAGGCCTGACCTTTGCACTGTGAAGGACAGGAGCGTTAATGTTTCAGAAAATGGGTTTTTGTTCTGGAGTTTGAGCGAGCTGAGTGTCAGTCTGGAGGTTATACAAGGTAAAGTTAGGATCTATATATACTAACTGCCTCACATGACCTCTCTCTCTCTCTCTCTCTCTCTCTCTCTCTCTCTCTCTCTCTCAGCCATGACGGTGTCCTGATAGTGGCACAATGCAACTCAGCACGTACACACACACACACACACACACACACACACACACACACACACACACACACAGAGACATTGGTTTTAGGTTATTTGAATTATCATTGGCCGGACTCATAGGTATAACACGAGCTGGCATTAGTGTGTCAAGAGTCTTATTTCTTTACTGCCCCTCTGTTAACACGAACGATGCGAACAACATTAGCTTTCTGAACGTCTCTGCTTACAGAATATATATGTGGGAGAAATCTGGAGCTACTGTTGATGTCCAGTGTGATTATAGACTCTGTATATCTGTTTTATTTGCTGCGTCTCATGTAGTTTAACAGGGTAACACCAAACTGCAGCTGTGGTAGTCAATTTTAGAAGGAGCATTAAGGTCACACAGCGGGGCCTCCACAGTCCTGACTCATATGCAGCATTTCTCTTAACTAACGTGTTAATATTTATCTGAATAAAGTAACTTTATTGAATCTTATTCATACAAATGTTTCCACAAAATGTTTTTTTATGTGACAAACATAAAATCTTTACACTTTGGGGACGATTAAGAATTATTTGGATGCATATTCGGGTTTATGATCAATCATTATGGTTAATGGAACAAACTGGAATCACCTGAACTTAAAATACTGCACAAATTTAAGTTCACTCAAACAAACTGAGTTGCTTCAACAATTACTTCCTTCGAAGTAATTGATTTGTAAACCCATGAGGGTTGGGCACTTTGTGTACGAACATAAAGTCAATCAATCAGACACACACACAGAAATAGAAAGTTCATAAGAGATGTTATCACTACCTAACATGTGTAAAATACTCAAATGATGTAATTTGAACGTACTTAAACTAAGTTAATTAGTGACATTAACAGTAAAACAGTAGTAGTTGTGTGATTTTAATGGATTTGTTTGTTAACTGACAGATATCTTATATAATTATGGAAGTTTTCACATCAGAAACGTTGAATAAATGTTGTTTATCAGTGTAAACAGCAATCATTTCTGTAATTTCACAGATAATAACTTTTATTGCAGTTCTATAATTTTTAACATTCAGATTAAAATAGCAAAAATCAAACAATAACAGCACTCTGCTGTAAATGTAAGCCAGATTATTGTATTATAGCAGAGTTCCCCTGTATTTAAAGTTCATTGCATTGCTTTTATTGTGTAAATATCTTTAATTAAACATTAAAAAAGGCACAGATACCTGAAGTCTTCTACTTCTCTGTTGAACAGTATCACATGTTCATTTTAATTTCAACTGTCCAATAATAAAACTTCCAGCTGTGTGGAGGCGAGGAACCGAGCAGCAGGTTAAAACTGCAGCGCTTTGCCAGAACATGCAGAGAAAGTTCCCCTGTTCAGCAGAGTTAATGGTGCGTTCAGGCGCGTTTGCCAACATGTAATCATTGCGTGGTGAAAGAAGAGCTTTGTTTATGTGCCGTACTTTGAACTGCAGGCCAGATCCTGAATCCTGCAGGAGATAAAACCACATTAGAACGGGGAATTATGCCGAATTATGGAAATACACATGTGTAACAGAGATGTTTGACTGGCAGACCAGTGTGGAAATCACAGCACTGTAGCGAGTGGTGCCCCCCCCGCCTCCTGATTGGTTGAGGTGTCAGGTTCAGAGGCTGTGATTGGCTGTCAGCCGCATCGGTGGCGCCCTCGCCTACCCGATGTGACCTTGGCAGTCAGTTAAATAGTCACACAGCTTTTCTTAAAGCGACGCGCAGCTGCTGGAGGAGGAAGTGACAGCATTTCAAAATAAAATATCCTCCTCATAGAAAAAGGAGGGAAGTTGTAAAATCTGTTCAGCACCTGAAAGTTTAAAAATCTGAAATGAGAAACTGTCAAAGAAACTTTCACTTCCTTCTTCCTGCCCCCCCCCACCCATCTGTTCTTATGGGGTCAATGACATGAAGTTCATGTGTATTATTTCCTTTCAAAATAATTTAACACATTCTTGACATGAATCATTTTATTATACAAAATCTGTTTAGTTTTAATATAATTTAAGTTAATTCAAATAATAAATATTATTTATATTCTAACCCCCAAAACGTTTGAAATCAATGAACACACAAATAAAAATCATATTTTAGGGGACGCCACCTTCAGACTTGCGTTCCTGGTTCTGCCAACGGCGTCCCTCTCCTGCTTTGCTATCGGGATGATTCGCTATACTACGAGTTTGTTTACCATCAAAATGACTTCTAAGCTGTTATATTAAGGTAAAAATCTTGCATAGTGTGCCTTTAAATGAACTTTTCTGGTTTTACAGTATAAAATAAAGAAAAATCAGCACAAAACAAATTAAATCTGATCCAGAAGTTGCTAAAAGAAAAGAGAAATAACTTAAAATCAATAGTAGGAAAATGTATTTATTGACATATTTTGTACAGAGAAGTTAAAATTACTTTAAATTTAAATTTAAACTGTTCAAAACGTTATTTAACAAATCTTTGTTAAATAACTTTGTGTCAGACTCAAAAATATGCATTACACATGTTTTAAGAAGCCTTTTTCTTGTCATTGGTCCATAATCCACTTAATCCTGAACTCCCCCTTTACAGTTTTTTTCAATTGTTTACACGCAATTTTGAAAACCGGGTGCTTTTTGTCAAAATATAATCACAATTATCCAAACACCACACTCAATTTGCATAATTCCTAGATTGTTTGCACAATGACACACTTCAGTCAAAACATAGACACATATTTGTGAAAATGCTATTAGTTTCCATTTAACCAACACAGTCCTCAATGATCAGACACTATTGCAGCCAGTTTCACACTGCTGTGATAAATAAAAAACACATTTTAGGAAATAGCATGTGCTAGATTTCTGGCCAGACTTTGTTATGTAAGGGATAATTTAGATGTCATAAAAAATAGTGACAAACCCACAACATTGTTCATGATTAGTTTGAGATATAGGGAGAATGTACACAAATAGGCCTACTATAAACTTACCAAGCACTGCACAACACTGATGCTGCAGACTGAATATTTCAAGTATTCATTTCAATACTTACAGTATTTCTTACCATAATCAGTTACAGTAATCAACCAACAATGAAATCAATGAAACAAATAAAATCTGTAGACAAATAAAAATGACTGCATGAAGTACACACACTTTGACTCTGAAGAAAAACTACTGTAAAAGCAACAAGAATACTGTAACTATTCATCATCTCTCCGTCTGGCTGAGTGCTGCGTTTTCAAATTAGCACATGTGTGCTTCCACACCTGGTGGATGTGATTATCCAATTTGTTCATTAGTGTGTTCATTGGCAGTCCGGGGCTTTGTAATGACAAGGAAGTAACCTCACAATCCTTATCTGTGTCTAAGGTGTGAAAATGTGTGTAGAGTTTTACAAATCACTGTGTGTAATGTTGTGCAAATCTGTGGAGGTGTTTTGCTCCTTGGAGTAGAATTTTCGCAAATTATGTGGACATTTTTATTTTAGTGTGTAAACAATTGTAAAAAACTGTAATATCCAACAATCAAATACCTCAACACTCGAAAGTTAGAATCATTTACACCCCGAAGCTAAAGTCAACCCATTTTCTGGATGAATAAAGGAGCCTTTGTATCGGCTACAAATCCAGATGTTTACTGGAGTGACAGCTGCTAAAAAAGCCCATTAAAACATCATCAGAGCATTTTAATGAGTGAGAGCGTAGCCGGGATACATAAAACATGGATTATGATAATGAGAGGAAGATTTTTAAACAGCTTGACTCGTTTTATTGAAGGATGGAGGATGAATGTGTACTTACTAAGCTGTGTGATTAAAATTAATGGGTCATAAAACCGGTTCAGAAAACTCCTCGGCAAAGAGAAGAGTGGGAAAAAACAAAGTGGTGGCGGCCAGTGGATCGATGATACTTCCCAGAATCCCTCCACAGCTCTCTCCAACAGATAGCTAGCCTGTTTACCGGCATAGTAAACAAAACAGGAAGGACATAGTAAAGAGGTAAAGAGGTAAAGTATTAAAGTAGTAAAGTAGTAAAGTGGTAAAGTAGTAAAGCCCGCCTCTTGATTTCTGTGAGCGGTGAGCTGAAAACATTATGTGCATCTAAAAAACGCTAGAAAACTGCGATGCTACGGCGTGAGACCAAACCACAGAGTACCATAGAGACGAATCTATAATATCATAAGGAACGTTTTATATAATCCTCTGTCTGTATTATGTTTTATTTTATTACCAACAATCAGACAGACCAGTTCAGTGTTTTCTCCTCTGATATTTGATGCCGTTGTTCTAACACATTTTGTGTTCACTCTCATCAGAGTTTAGATATTAAATAATAAACTGTAATGTAATTACTTTAACTCAGAAAAATGTTGAAACTGTTTGAAAATGAAGTTACAAAAACTCAAATATATTCTTGATTAAATACTTTTTTACCCGTTAATACAAGTGGATATTTCAAAATGAACATTAACATCACTAAAGATACTTGATCAAGAATATTTTTTAACTTACAAAATTCTGTTAGTTTTTTCTTTTAATTTACTTTTTTGAGTTAAAATAACAGTTTCATTGAATTTTCTTAACAGAAATTAACAAAATGCTGAGATTTCGGCCGACTGTGGATATTTTTATAGTACGTCGCCTGTAAAGCTTTGTCTACCTGTAGTGGGGGTCCTGAACCCCAGGTTGGGAACCCTTGCTCTAGACCATTAAAGAATGTGATTGAGGGAGTTTCTGTTCTATACAGAGAGGTTTCCAAAACCACAACGTCAGAGAAAAAGATGGAACTGTTTCAGTGAAAGTGCACTAAAACCTCTTTGTGGTTTCCTCAAACAAACGCTGGAGCCTCGGTTTCACTAATACTCATTAAACCATCTGAAGGCGTCCAGATAAAGTGTTAGGAAACAGTTGAACTGAGGTAATCCACCGTCTCGTACTGTAAGCGAATTCCTCCAACCTCCTGTGTTCATAATGTAAATGATTTATTGATTGCACTGATTGGTTCATCTGGGACTGTGTGACTCAATAACTGGACCAGTCATTATTTTCCTCATGTGAAATTTATGAAACCCATAAAACCTTCCACTGATCTCACATAGAGCTAGGAGTTGGTGAGTGTCACTGTTTAATGAAGATATGCTGACTGCAATGACCACAGTCTTGGATGTAAAAGGAAGAACGAGAGAGAGAGAGAGAGAGAGAGAGAGAGAGAGAGAGAGAGAGAGAGAGAGAGAGAGAGAGAGAGAGAGAGAGAGAGAGTTATGTAACAAACTTACTTTGCCTGAAAAATGACACAAATGTCAGAGTCAGTTTCTCTTCTGCTTTCTCACTTTAGTGTCACCCCTGGAAACCGTACAGACCGGTTGTCCTCTGTTAAATCAGTGTGCAAACATGCAGCTTTCTTTCACTGGAAAACATTTTTAAAGAACAATGAGAGCGCTGCAGCTCGATTCCAGCGAAGAGGAGGAGGATGTTGAGTCAGTCAGAGGTGCTGACTGACACTAAACATTCACTCTAAAAGAAATTGTATAAAACTAATATTCCAGCAGCGGAGCACCAAAAACATACAGTAAAATAACAAAAAAATGTTTGTCTTTTTTTGTTGTTTTTTATGTTTAATTAAAGATATTTACACTGTAAAACCAATGCAATGAGCTATAAATACAGGTGAACACTGCTACAATACAGATAATCAGCAGAGTGCTGTTATTATTTAATTTTTCTTATTATTTATTTCTTGGTAATTATTGCTGTTTTCACTGATAAAAACTGTATTTGGACAGTTTACCAATGCTTATACACTGATAAACAACATTTATTCAACGTTTCTGTTCTGAAAACTTCCATAATTATACAAGATATCTGTCAGTTAACAAACAAATCCATTAAAGTTACACAACAAATACCTTTACTTTTTTTTCATGCAGAAAGTGCTTGTATCATCCTGTAATAATGATGAAAACATTCAACAGCAGTTATATTATATTAGGAAGTTGTGGTCATCTGTTAACATGTGATGTTAAAATCTCCGCTGCACAACTGAAAACATTCAGATTTCCTCAGTCTTTGTGGTCTTTAATCTGCTTTAAAATTCCTCTTTTCCAAACCGAGCTTCTTTGTGTTTCCAGAAACTTCCAGTTCTGGCCAGCCGGGCCTTCAGCAGCTCTGCCAGGCAGCTGAAGAACAAAGTCCCCGAGGCCCAGAAACTCTTCCAGGTAAAGAAGAAAACTGCTCAGAGCGTGTTGTGTTCACTGTCTTTCTGGATTGATTAAACTTAAAATTCTGAGAAAATAAATTTCTGAAGCCAACGCAAAACACTTGCGTAAACACTTAAACCACCTAAAGCACAATGTTAGCACTGGAGTCAGCGACAGACTGAACGTCTGATTTAAATACTTTTATTATCTTATTGGGCTCACAGGCTGCTGACTAAGGATGACATAATGCAAGTAGTCGATACCACTGCCGGGGAAATTTGATCCCAAAAAACAAAAGAAAACAATGAACTCCTTTATTAAAACATGTGAACATTACAAAGTTTTCCCTTTTCTAATAGAAGTTTTCTAATTTACTAAATCCACGACTTAACTCACAAACCTCCGTCTGTTTTTGTCGTTTCTTTCACTCTCTCTCTTCCTCTAGCTCCATTTGTTGACTTTCTTCAGCTGTATGTTTGATAAAGTCAGAAAGATAAATTCTCACATTAGAGTTTAGAGGTTCCCCTGGAAGCGGGAAGTCGGCCACACGAGAGAATTGTTAGATGTGGCCGGAGATTCTCCTTTGCAACTCCGGATAAACAACAAGTTTGGAGGCTGTTATGCAAGAGTTTGAAGTGAACTGCAATCAGGAAAAGAACATTTTTCAGTCTGTAACTGAACGCAGAACAACAGCAAAGTCGTGGGAATTCGGCGCTTATGAGGCGTCATTAACCAGAGATAGAATCGTGTGTGGGATTAATTCTGAATCCATGACAGAGACGTTGCTCACAAGAGTAACATTTCTCTGGAAGAAGATTCGTCAAGCACTGATTGACCAACGCACAACTGCAACAGATGCGAGAGGAAGATAAGCATGCACAAGAAAGTAACAAAAGAGAGACAAACATAAGCCACAGCAAGGAAGGTGTAAAAGCTTTGCTAGAATAGGTAATGCAGTCAATCAATTAATGTGAGGGGTGAGGAAAAAGAGCTCTTTGTTGTTGGAGTTCATTGACACAAAAACAGATGACTGCACAGCAAACATGGAAGTTAAGAACAAAGTCTTGAACGTGGTGCTCAGGCAAATGTTCTGTAAGCTCAGGAAAACACAGACAGTGAGGAAGACAAAATGCAATCTGCAGGTGAGACAACAGGTGCTCACATTCATTGTGTTTGAGAGAAAGGTAAAGCTGATATCAGGCCTGTGTTGAAATGCTGATTGTCTGAGTACAAAGATGCCTTAAGGGCCTTGGCTGCCTAGAAGAAGAACTCCATAAGACTGGAAGATAACACAGTACCAAAAGTTTTTCCTTGCCTTTGTCTCCAAGGTCTTGCTCATGGTGGTACTGTTGGGTCTCTGTAATTAATGTTAAAGAGTTCGGTCTAGACCTGCTCTATTTGAAAAGTGTCCTGAGATAACTTCTGTTATGAATTGGCGATATACAAATAAAATTGAATTGAATTGAATTGAAATTGAATACCAAAAGTACAACCCTCCAAAAAAAATAGCAGTCCTGCTGAGGGATAAACTGAAAGAGGGGCTCTGCAGGATGGAGATAAAGCTGTCCAAAGAACTAATGATCCTACTGAATGAGTAAATCCTATTGTTGTTGTAGAAAAGCCAAGAATCTGTCTGGATCCACAAGATTTCAATTCTGCAATAAAAACAGAATATCTATCAGCTTCCAATTGAGCATGAAATCACATCCAAATGCTAACAAAAATGGGCCCTCAGTTCAGCTCAAAAGAGTTGGGATTTCACCTCCAGCCCACATCATGCACCGTCCAATGGCTCGGCAGAGAGAGCAGTTCAAACTGTCAATCTCATGCAGAGAGAGGAGACCACATTCTCGCCTTACTGAACCACATCATTAGACGATGTAGTGATAACACAAAGTCAAATAAAAAGCTTTATGATCATGGAGCAAAACTGCTGGAGAAGCTCTTTACTGGAGACTGAGGCCAGAAGGAACCTGGACTCGTGGAGAAGTGAACAGAGCTGTTGCACAACCGAGATCAAACTCCAGATGGGCCGGTCTACAGCAGAAACACAAAGAGAGCTGACACAGAGACCTTTGTGTTTCTGTGGAACAGTCGAATGTCCAGTTGGGGAATAAAGTTAAAAAGAAACCCACAAGATATAGAGACAACTCAGTGTTAAATGTACAAAAAGAAGAAAAGTTATACTTCTGTTCCCCTGACAGGGGATTATACACTAATTTAAACATTCATATGAATGTTATATCACACTTCGGACAATCGATCCTCCTCAGTGTCACACTTTAATATCCTGTTATACTCTGAGCCAGAGACGCTCCGAACAACTGGAGAACATCGGCAGGGTTGGAAGGAAGATAGACAGATAGATTCTTTATTCATTCTCAAGGGGAAATTCACAGTTTCCAGCAGCATCCACAGACTGGGATAAAACAGAAGATTTAAAATTTACGGAGGCATGCAAAGTACTTGTTTTTAATAATAATAATTATAACAACAGGAGGCATGCAAGAGAACAATAAAAAGACTTCAGGCTTGCTCATACCACCATCTAAATATCTAAACAAACCACAGCTCTAACGCTGTTTGGCGGTGATTATTTCAGCCCAACATCAAGCAACATGTCCAACAGTTGGAGCCCCAGAAAACACGACTTCCACACATTTTTAAGCAACAAGGTAACCAGATTCCACTGAAACACGTCTAAAGGCTTCCTGATGTAGAGCTGGAGAAAGAGTCAGCTTGTTGTATTAAACGTTGTGTCACCGCATCGCTGTGTTAGGGTTTGTGACTAACTGCAAAACAGCTAAACTCATTTAAATTTGACTCATTTAGCTAACCAGCATCCCCTGAGGCAGTAAATACCTGCTGTTTTCATCCTGTGGTTTCTATGGTTACAGGAGGACAACGGGTTGCCGGTTCACATCAAGGGAGGAACCGGTGACATGATGCTCTACAGGGCCACCATGACGCTAACTATAGCAGGTAACAGACATAAACAGCAAACAATAACTGGAGCTGTTCAACTCAACAGTTAATTATATATAAAGCTCTTCACCAAAACATTTCAGCTTTCAGACATTCAGCTTCTTCCTCTCACTCACAGAAACTCTAAAGGAGCTTCATTTCCACACAGAGGACCAAATATATAATATAAATAGTTCCAGAGTCCCAGGAGTTTTATCTTTTATAAATCATCAATGAATCTTTGATTTTATAAGGTAGCTACATAAATACAAATCCTAAAAATATACAAAATATACATTTGAGTAACTAAATACACTTAGTATGCTCTAATGTTTCTGTAAAAAAAAAACTGAATAGAGAAATAAATAAATAAAAATAATATTTTAAAATAAGTAAGAAACAAAGAAATCCTGTCCTAACCCAGCTGTCCTACACATACACACAGTAAGAACATTTAGCTGTAGTCTTGTTACTTTAACAACAACATAAACAATAAATAAAAATAATAATACTACAGTGTGTCTCTGGGGCTATGTGTGTGACTGCTGTAAATTTGATAAATCACATTTTATATTTAATATTCCCATCTTCAACACAATCGTTAACTGCTGCAAAAACAGAAGAAGATGATTATGGTATCATATGAAACTAGAGCACCCAGTGGTTCTATGGATACCCCATGAGACACTTTCTGCTAATCCAGTGCAGTTTTTGGTGCGTATATTTGAATATTTCTGCAGATTGGGCTCCATAAACGCTGCTGGAATCACTAGGGAATGACTAGAAAGCAGAGACACTGCCCCACTTGAGCCTCTCCAGTCCAAAAAGCCTGGAGCCTGTGAGCACGAAGCCAGTTTCCATATTCAATTACATGAATGATATTTGGTTGGAGCATAGCAGCAATATGGAAAAGAAAAAGACGTGAAAAATTCTTTTTAATGGGATTTCCATTAACGAGCTGCAACCACTGACGTTTTTTTGGGGAACCAGTCTGAGACGCTCTGACGTGTTATTGATGTGTCTGTCTGCAGGAACCTGCTACTCTCTCTACTGGCTGCTCATGGCCTCCATGCCTCAGAAGAAAGCGTAGAGCAGGAAGCAACCCCGCCCCTGGGCTCGGTCTATTGCTTGGAGAACAGCGCCCGGCTCCGTCTAACACTAATGCTTGTTGTGTGAATTCTCTTTGATTGTATCACAAGCCGTCCTACTTTGATAATGGCAGTGATGAATGTGTAAAAAGTGTAAAACATTTTGATTCAGAGTTTCAGAGTTTTCATTTGTGTCTCTTTCTGGTTTCTGACTAACTTTTTATTATCTTCTCCATCAATCAAAAAAGGCAACTGTCTTTGCTGCTTTTATAAAAATAACTTTACATCCTGACAGATTATCTGTCTCATGTTCTACTGTCAGGATGCAGTGAAAGTTTCAGCAAATATGACACAACCAAACCAGTAGAGATGTTATTCTCACTGGATATAGTTGCCCTTAATTTTTGATGAACTATATAAATGAATTACAAATATTTTTGCAATTTTTCTTTTTTTTAAATGCCTAAAAAGATCATAACATGCAATTGTTTTTAGAAAAGGTGCCATATAATCAGGTATTTTAGGCTCCAAAAATCCCAACACATGATGAAAAAACACTTTCCCAGCATATAAAGCATCCTAACATCACATTCTCACCAAAGACAGGACCCCACAGATGGCACTATTGTTGCATTGGTTTCAAACATGTCGGCATCCAAACCACAGCAACTCACATCTGAAGCCCATGTGTGCAACTGACACCTCCGTCCTCAGTGTAGCCTTACAGGAATTCACCAGAAAAAAAAGGATAACAAACAAATAAAATGTCAAGCAATAATTCAAAAGCTGTATGTTCTACATGTGTCTTCAAGGCCCAAAAGTCTGCAAGTTTTCATTCAGATCACTGATCTCGAGCCAGAGAGGAGGAGGAGTTCAGTCCTCCGCGATCCACACAACAAGGTCTTTACAACATATTGGCCGAGCAAATCCTGACAGATTGATAGATGTGGCCCGAGAGGAATTAGATTTCTATTTAATATTAGAAGTATTGAACAAAAGTAATAAAAGTGTGATTAGCATGTGGAAATGTTACTGATCCGCTCCAGCTGTTACACACCACTGGCTGTCAAGGAGATAATGAGTGACGGATCCATCTAATGGTCTCTAACAGGAACTACAGCAATACAAATTACACCGATAAAACACTTTCAGCTTCACTGGAAACAAATCTGATCCACGTCAGCCACATAGTTTTATGTAAAGTATATTGTTTTAGTTCTAATGAAGGGAAATCTTTCACACATTTACATGCACACTACTCTTCCACCTTTATTCCGAATCCTGAATTTGATAAGGTGTGAACAGAATATTCTGTTTGGCTATTCCTAATGGAGCATTTTCAGATGAACACGTGGTAAATGTTGTTATTGTTCAGCTTTTAAGGAGCGTTCTTTGGAGTGCATTCAGAATATACGTCTCATTTGGGGTTTTCACTCGGTTTTGCCTTTTTACCGTCAGCTCTGTGCGTCGTAAACAAGCCAACACACCTACTGGTAAACATTATAAAAGAGAGGTCTTTGGATACAAGCAAATATCACAATTAGTGTGCATATAAACCTAATCATTGGAAAATTGAATTGAAATTTAATTGAAAGCCTTTATTGTCATTTTACATAGTACGATGAGATTTAAAGAGCAGCTCCGTAAAATGCACACATAATTAGCACAATATAAAAGACTATACAATAGATACAATACAATACAATAAATACATTAGTGCAGTCATGGAAACACCTGAAAAGGTATTAAATTAAACCAAATATCCTCAAAATAATCTATGTTGTCCTGGAAAATATTAATAGTATTTGAGCCCCTTATTAAGTACTACTGTGTGAACCTGGGTGCGTGTTCAGTTTGACGCTGTTGATAAAGTCCACGGTTACGACACACTATGAAACACTGTCCTTTCATATAACTGCTGGTGAGCGAGTGCAGTCCTGTATTTTCCTGCAAAAGGATTTCTTAAGAAGTGTGGGAACCCTGTTTTAACCCGCAGATTTGTTTTGGAATAAAACTTATACATCACCATGTGGAGACGGTTATTCATGATGCAAAATTTGTAATGGCAGGAGGCAAAAGGAAAGCACAGAGAATTAAATACAAACATTCATCACAGATCATGAAACAGTAGACGCAGAACTCGAGGTGGAAGGGTTAAACTTATTTATTTTAGGATTTAGGATAGTTAAATAGAATAGATTTCTCACAGAGATACTTGTTCCATCACTTATACTGATTTTAAGATTTCTTAAGATACCATTAATCAAATTCTCCCATTACAACAGCTGACTTCCATCTCCACTGTAGTCTGTGTAAATATACATGTTGTCCTGGAGGCAGCAGACAGACATTTTCTTATCTTTAAATGCAGCCACAATGAATTTTCATCAGGCAGTAGGCAGTAATTTCTCAGCACCAAACAAACCTGCTTGTACAGAGCAGTATATTACTGAAGTCTATTTCTACCAGTAAAATAAAACAAACATGATAAAAACTTAAATAAAAAAAAAGAATGTTACGTCAAAACTTTTCATAACTTCAACGTTTTATCTCATAATTTTGACTTTCTATGTTATAATTTAAACCAAACAAAGTATTTCCAACACATGGGAACACGACTCACAAGTTGTTGGCGTTCTTCTTCTTCCTAATTCCTATGGAATTAACAGCAGACTAGAAGACTTACTGCCACTGATCTCTTTTGTCCTAGTTGTAAACATTTTACTGTTCGTTGTGTCTCCATATTTGAGCATCTGATCGTCGTCTTTTCAACGGAAAAAACCCAAGTCTCAGTGGGTTGTGTCTTTATCTCAGGAAGCGAATACTCATCTTGTGATCAATGTCCACTTTCTCCAATGACTAAAAACAAAAGCAAAATCATTTTAAGTAAAAGTTATAATTACATAAGTTATGTTACATACTTTTCCTACTGTACATGGAGACTTTGAGTGTCTCTTTTAAGTCAGTATGATGTAAATTCAGTATCTGTTGACATTTACAATAGAAAATATATTTTGTAATATTTTAGTACTTAAGTATTTAGAAATTGGTAGTGGTTTGTTTCTGTCAATGTTAGCATTGTCCACGTTCCCCAAACAAAATGCTTGTCCTAAAAATGCTTATTTTTATTTTAGACATACTCATGTTACCTGATTTAAGTATTTTCTCTGAATTAATTTAATTTATGAATTCTTGCTTTATCTCTTTACTATCTCTTTCTATTATTTTCTATTTTCATTCTTTAAAGAGGTTTAATGATTTCGTCCTCACAGTAACACTTTTACTAAAAGAAATGATGAAGGAAAGAAAAGTGTTTTACCAGGAAAAGATTCTAAACTGAAACAGTCATCAGAAAAATCAGATTATCATCCCCCTCGTTTAGACGACCCTCTCACCTTTCTGAACTCGTCAAAAGAGATGGCGTCGTCTCTGTCCAGGTCGGCCTCCTGGATGGCTCGCTCAGCAATGCTCTGGAGCTGCTCCTCCGTCACCTGTATCCCCAGCATCGCCCGCAACACCTTCACAGTCAGTCACCAACCGATCAGTTATCACTGATCATGCATGTCAGCAGATCTCTCAGACTCGCATTTAGGGCAAGGGTAAATTCTGAATCCTTTTTCTATTTACTGGCTCCCTGTTGGCCACATAATTAGTAAAGACAATGTGGTGTTTAATTCTTATGCAGATGATACACAATTATATCTGCCTGACATTGATTGTAGTAGTTTGGTTGCCCTAAGGCAGGGGTATATCTTATAGGGCTATAAATTATTTCATTTGAGCGAAGAAAAATGTTCTCAACTCACGTCCTCTCACTTACCTGGTACAATAATGATACAAGTCATTTTCTGTTCTTATGGAAACATTGTGATTGTGATTCGTTGAAAAGCTCACCTGCCTGATGAGATTGAGTTTCCTCAGTTTGTGTTTTTATTTAGTGTTTTACAATTTGTGTCACATTTTGCTTGTATGAAAAGTGCTGTACTAATAAAGTCTGACTGATGTATGAATGAGAATATCATAGGTCATTCATTTGGCTCCATCTGGTGGCCAATATGTGGACATGATTTATCCAAACTGGTAACTTATAATATTTCAAACAATTTTCAATTATGAAGGTTGACACATTCCTAAATCATTAAAACTTAGATAAGATTGAGGCATATGTGTTTCTTTGTTTTTTCAGATTTCTAAATCTGCCATTGAACTCCAAATATTACTTTTCCGGTAGGGGAAGCCATAACTCTGGATCTTAAATGTAATCCATTGTAACCTGTTTTGAATTTAAACTGCCCATGTGAGTGACATGGCAAGATACAAACGTTTTGTTGATGTTGTACCTTTGTTGCATTGCCAAGACTCTGGGAAATTTAATGATATAATTATCAGTTCTCTTAAATAAATGGAAACCAGTCAGTCTTAAATTGACTTCAGAATGGGAACAGTACCATATGAAGTTTGTGTGTTTATTTACAGTGTTGCTCAGAGACACAATGATGAGTTACAGACCTGAAGAAGCTCTGCTCTGGAAATCTTTCCATCTCTGTCCTGATCATACATCTGAAAAGCAACTTAACACACAGAAAGACACAATGTGTCGTTAGTGGATCAGAAGTCACGTCTATTAGTGACAAGCTGAAGCAGAACAAACCAAACTGGACTAACATTTGAGCTTCCTGATGCTGCTGTTGGCTGGTTCCTGCTGGGCTCCGTCTCTGGATTGGTTTCTGTCTGTGGGACGGAAATGAGCCAGAATCCGAACGAAGGAGGCAAAGTCCACAGTTTCCTGCCTGGAGAGAGTGAGAGGAAAGGGAAATGTTTCCTATTTCCTGTTCATAGTTAGTTACTAACAAACACAGGATAAACATTAAACTGCTATAAAACACAGCTGCTGCCAAACCCTCATAACTCCACTTCTGTTACAGTTTGTCAAATGAATGATTTAATGTTTCTCTGTATTTACAAAAGTAATTAAAACATTTCAACATTAAAATGTCTATACAAACTAGACCTATGTTCTATGCAGTTGAGTTTATCAAGGTTTATATTGAGTTTTGTAGTTTATCCCAAATGTCATTATATTCAGGTAACACGGGTGACACAGGGTGACACAGGGTAACACAGGGTAAATTGAACCGGGTGAAGGATTATAGTCATTAGATCTTAAGTTATCAGAGAAACAAGCTGAGCTAACTTCAGCAGCAGCTCGGCTCGCAGCCCCTCCGGTACGTCCTTAGACTTGCCGGACAGCATCGGAGAAATGCAGATTTTTAAAGTGGAACCCCTTTATTCAGTGTTTTTACCGGTTTTAATAAGTTGTTTATTTTGTAGAGGAGAAGACCTCTGTGGATAATTTGGCTAGAGACAGAAATATTGTACATTTAACTAACTTTCTCTGTGTTCTGTCACCTCTGAGTCTACTCTGATCTATTCATTTCAGTTCAGACAGTTTGATTCAAACACATATTAAAAGAAAGTAATGATGCTCTCATTGATGGTTTACAAAACTAAAACCTGCAACATTGTAAATGTTTATGTAAAGTAACTGTTGATGTCGGACCTTACAAAACAGCGTTACTTAATATCTTCAGTCTTAATTTTGCTTATTATTCTTTTTCTCCTTCCATACATTGTTTGGACAGTTACAATTCTACATACATTTTTTCAGATAGACACATAAATACAATTTTCCACATAAAAAGCCTATTTTTGTAATTCTGGCTATTATTCATCTTTTTGAAATCTGTTATTTCTTGAATATTTTACTGTACTTTTTAGATACAGGGCAAATGTCAGTACTGTACTGAGGTCTGTACTGTCTATTTGATTCATATAATAGTAACAATAATGATATTCATATTAACTTTATTTAAGTTTTACTTATAAAACCTTGCCATATCTCTTGAACACAGTATTCATTTCCAACCGATTTTGGGAGGTATCTTCAGACATCGGCTTCTTTCATAAACTGCCTGCCAACAGCGGTAGTGGTGATGCAGCAATCACATGTATTTTCTTCAGGAAACGCAAATATTCTAGTTTCATTTTCTAATCTAATCCAGTCTGAAACATTTGCAGGCTGCTGTACCCCGGAGAGAAAAAAGCGCTGATGATACTGTCCCCGATCGGGTTCAGGGCCAACTCCTGAACTGCTCCGAAATCCTGAGGCCTGAGACACACAGAGAAAAGCTTTTATTATGTTAATAGACCACTGAAATTAAAATGACTCAATATAATTCAACATCATCTCAAACTATTGTTGTGCTGAACCGTCACCTCTTAAAAATTGAACATTTATTACGGAAGACCTGAAAGGCAAGTGAGAAAAATAACTCTGGTGATCCATTTTCAAAATTTGATCTAAATTGTTTTCTCACCTTTGTTTACGAACAGGTGAAAATTATTTTTAATCTGTGATGTTTTCTTCCAGGTGAGTTTTAATTTCGCCATCTGCCCTGAACACAGTTTACATATACTGTATGTTAGCATGTAATGTAACATTACTGTCATGTCATACTTTTGGTTTGAAATTAGAGGGTGACCGATATACCGCTCAGCTGATACTGGCTTATTGCAGACATATCAGCATCGGTATATATGTTATCCAATATGCACAAAACAATAATAGGAATTGGTTTACAATGTATATGTTAAATCATTGAACACATTAAATGTATTTGTTTTGTAAAGCAGCCTTCTGACTACCTTTGTAGAGTCATATCAGTGGTTGTACAATTAACATAGAAAAGGTTTATTTTCATTCCCTGCTTGAATTAACGATCCTGACAAAATGTAGAAATATTTGTGCTTTTTTTCACCTTTTCTTGAATCATAAACACAGGAAAGAAAACAGTTTAGATCAGACACATGGTTTTAGCCTTGTGTTTTCACCATCGAATCAGTGAGAATTTAAACATCCTGACAGAAACTCTTGTTTTATTTTGTGGTTAGAAACCATAGAAATCTGAGAGACTACTATTACCTCTGATGACTCTCTCCATCAAACAACATCTGTTCAGACTATAGACCTCATCATCAGAGCCGACATCCTTCCCACAATAGAACAGGAATATAATAACATAATAATAATAATAATACAGTTTAACACACAAACTGTATTTACATTAAACATTTTCCTGCTCACTGATTGGTCGGTCGGTCCACCAACCTGAGCTGTCCACACTTGTGTTTGTCCAGAAACTCAAACCTCTCATGCAGACGGAGGATGTGGGCAGCAGAGACTGAAACACAGAGAACGTTTGATTGATTACAGACTAATCAATAATCCATCATGTCAGTAGATTAGTCAGATTAGTCCTCTCTGCAGTTTATAAACTGTCGGAACATGTTTCACCATTAAAAGCTTAAAGGTTCAATATGCAAGACGGTGCATTTTACGTATTATTCACAATTCCTTTTATTTTGTTGTAATGTAACCAATTGGACTGATTTATATATCTATGTACCAATTTACCAAGGCAAATTCCTCGTATGTGAAAACTTACTTGACAATAAACCTGATTCTGATGTAGCGTTGTGGGTCAGATTGTTCACAAAAATCCAAAGGATGTGACATTTATGCTCGTTCCTGAATGCAGTGTGCAACGCTAGCTAATGTTAGTGATTTGTAAACGGCGAGCTAGTTAGTAGCATGGAGCTAATGGTCCAAATAAAATATAGGAACATTGCAGATAGTAACGTTATTCTAAATATGATTGTCAGTTATTTCACAGCGTTCAGTGACGCCCAGGATGATGCAACAGGACGCTGACTGCAGTTCACTGAATGGCCACTGGTGGCGCTGTTAGCTACAGTTTAATGACAGTTATATATAGAAGCTTTAAACACTTCACTGGTTCGTACTGCAGCCAGTCAGACTTCATGAATCTAATCTCAGCTTCACTGTTGACTTTCTCTTGTTTACACTCAGCAAACACAGCAGAGGACATTAATTCTTCCTCCTCATTTATTCTACTTAAAACTTTAAAACCACAGTTTAACTGATTTAATTTGAGCTATTTGACATTTCAAAGTATATACCTTGTCAAACACAATACATACATAGTCACTACTATTGTGGTCCAACTGCTTTTCAAATTCTACCTCAAGTTTTTAGTTTAAGTGTTAAGTGAAGTTATTGTGTTATCTTTGAGTGCCTTTGTGTTATGAGCAGGGACCATTTTAAAAATCTTTATTGGGGGTCTGTACACAATGAAGACAAGTTATTTTCAAACAGTTTTGTGTCATTTTAATTAACACGTATGAATTTGTTTTAGTATGGATGTATGTTTCAAATAATAACAATAGTAGATACATTCACTGTTGGTTTGATGTTTGTCGACATTTATTGTCCAACACAGTAAAGTGTATTAATTGTGAATATTAACTTTAATTTGACAGTTTTTTGCACCACTGAAGATGAACACTTGCAGCTGCAGTGAACTGGTTAAACAGTGAACAGTCTGTATCAGTGAGGACAGTTCAGGGTGTTCACACACAAACTGAGATAAACAGCAGATGAAATAACACAGATAAGTTTAACAACACTGACTGTGCTGCTATCAGAGCGCTCAGACTACCGCAGTAATATATTCATGGGAAGCCAATCCTGTACCCTTACCTTAACCTAACCTAAACTAAATGCCTAACACTAACTCTTAACCCTCAACCAGCCCTTTAAATTTGTGGGGTCCCCGTAAAACTGTCGGTCCCCACAAGTACAGTGTGCGCACAGATGCACACTTTGTGTCTCTAAAATCTTATCAAAAGTTTTTTGACCTTGGCAACAGCTGCAATAACAGTCTCCACTCAAGGTCCACTTACTCACTTGTTCTGGAGCTTCTTTAACCCTGTTAACAAACTATTCTTCAGCAGATGAAGTTTGCTAATAGAGCTGAAGATGTTCAAACTGTAAGTGATCACTCAATGTCAGACTGCAGATAGACTCTCAGTTCATAAACTAACCTGTGAATGATTTCTACATATGAATAAACAGCAAATAAATGCTTCACAGCAAACTGTACAATGTATTTGTGAATAAGCATATGTCGTTAAACAAATGTATAAATGTGTAAAAGTGTATTTTGTGTCTTTTTATATAATTAAAGGAGATGAATTATAGCAGGAAACCTTCTTTCTGTCAGCTGTGGCTTCACGTTTCACAGCTTCACTGCTGGTTCATCAGAGAACTTTAATTCATTGATTAGAACCCCTCAAACTTTAAGATTAAGGTCAAATATGAATGGAATCAGTATCTTGAGCAAATAAAACAACTGTTTTATCAGGAGTGACTCAACTCAAAGAGCATTTTGAGATAAAAGTGGTTGAAATATTGAGAAAATAATTCCTGAAGTCTGTCTCTGAGTGATCTGTTATTTCAGTAACTGTTCCTCGTCTAAGATTTCTCAAAAACAAACTGAACTCACAGCCAGTTTCCTGCATGAGCTCCTGTGCGTTGGGGATGTTGTTCACGCTGGAGTTGCTGGAGCCCATCCTGCTGGTTTTAATCTGCTCCTGGCTGCAGTTTGCTGTCTGCAGCGTGTGATTGAGCTGTCGACTGTATGTCTGTCTGCAGCCTGTTCAGCCCTAACACTGACAAGGTTGCTCAGCCAATCACTACTCGGCTCACAGACTTGCACCGACCAATGAGCTTCCTAGACACTGTCAGACAGTCTGCGATGTTTCTAGTGGAAACTGTAGAAAAAAGCTGGAATAGATACTAACTTAATATGTGGGGAATTAATGATTCCTGATTTCTATTTTATTTTTATTTCATAATAATCATGATCTGCAAAGAATCTCTAAAAGTAATAACTGGCTCATTTTCTTTGTGCAGTTTTGTACATAAGTGATAATGAAATAATTAATGTATGAATTGGTGGAGGAATTGAGATTGAGCAGCAATTTCCAAAACAAGTTTGCCAAAGCTTAATTTAAAGGTCTTCTTTGTTTTAAGAGTTAATGATGTGATTAATTATAAAACATAAACATGTTTTTAATGATGTTGTATCAGCCTTGAGATAATCCTATGCTGTTTTTTTTTCTGTTGCTTGTCTTTACTTCTACTTTTAAAATATAATTTATTTTGGCGTCCTGTTGGTAGCATTTATTTTTAATCTTAATTTAATCTATTCACTGCTTATTGTAATTAAAAGGGCTTTTGCACCTCCCTTTCCCTGATATTTAAACTAAACTCTGTGGGTTGCTTTTTTTCCTTATTCATATGTTGTGTATTTATTTTTACTGTTTTTCCCTCCAAATGATTTCTGTCTGTTAACTTGTTTGTTTTCTAAGTTAGGAACCAGAGGTCGAGGAAGCAGCTCGGGGTTGGTGGGCTGAGGGGAATCCTGGTGTTCATTACCTTTATTGTATTTCTGCATTTCTAATGGAAACGTCAATAAAGTGGACTGGTTGTAGTGACTCAGGTGGAGAACACACAGGCTGAACCTCGGTGTGCTGAGCGGTTTATAAGGTTACAGCAGCCTCCCCACTGATTCACTGACTGCACACTGTCAGTCCCCTGACACAAGGTGGAGCCATTTCCACATAAATACACACCGTCCAACGTCCTCATGACAAGTTGGTCCTTAGTGTTTCCTCATTAAACAGTGTATAAACTCTAGAGCTATGTTCTATATGTAGTTGTGTTCTTACATTATCCCAAATGTTTCCAACAATGTTCAAATTCATTTTAACTTAAACTGGGACCTTAGCTTCAGCCTCAGTCAGTCAGCAGTTTATCCAGTCTGAAGCCACATTTTTACCATCCACTGTTTAGATCTTCTCCCTGATGCTTGACCGTTGTTCTTTTAGACAATTTACATAGGCGTTTCTTCACAAGTGAACCAAATGCTGAGATAGACGCCTTTTTCAAGGAAGCCTTAAAATCAAGATGGCCTCGCAACCCCCGTGTGAAGCTTTGGCGACCTATATTGGCAGTGTGTTTCACAGCTTGTCCTGTAACCCCCCCCAATGAACGCAGATTTAAGTATGTTTGTTCAGTGATACTTTGGGGTCGTATCAGCAGCAGTGGAGCTGATAGTATTAGCACTGTTTCTATATTAATAGTAAGTTCAGCTGTATTCTTTGTTCTGTTTGGCATTAGTAGTCCAGCTTCTCCCTGTGGACTGAAATGAAACTGGGTCAAAGTCAAAGTCCAAACAGTTAAAGCAAAACACACACACACACACACACACACACACACACACACACACACACACACACACACACTCAGTGTTGGCAGGCTGTCAGACATCAGGTCTGTTTATGTGAATAAAGAGCTGCTGCAGAAGAATTTACCCTCAAGAGCACACACACACTCACCAATGTATTAATGTATTACTCGTTTTGTGTGTTATTCTGCAACATCGCCTGAAATCACATAATATGAACTTAATTTAATAAATCATAAACAGAATAAAATAAAATAAATAAGAAAACTTTATCTTGAGAAAAATAAACATTAAAAACAGAAGAAGAATAAAGAATGAAGGTAAATATTATTGTCACAGATGCAGCGGGCAGTATTCGCTGCTACCTTCAGTATATTTTACTGCGAGTGAATAAATACGTACAGTGGATAGAAATGTTGCTGCGTTGGCTGCAGGGTTTGAACGCAGCCTAAGATGGGGAACATACTGAACATTGTACTTGCTAAACATTAGCATGCTAGCTTGACATTTAGCTCACACCACCAACATTTTAAGGCTTCATAAAAAAACCAATTAGAAACTGTTGGACAGAACAAACAACACTAATGGTTTATCTGTTTTTTAATTTTAAGTTGGATGAATTCGTCCTCTGGAGAGATGTGATCTGACTCTGGTTGGTGGATTTTGAGATTTGTTGTGGAAACTGTGGCTGTCTCACAGAGGGACCAGTTTCTTCACAATCTTGACCAGTTAATGTTGAGATATTTGTCGAATCGTGGCCTCAGATGGAGGTTAATAAGTCCATGGATTAATCAGTATCAGTGTAACATGTAATTTATTCAGTCACTAGTTTCTCTCCTGTGTTGGGCAGGAATTTTCTCCCTCATTACCAGCCTGTGTGGACTCAGTGGGATGTTCCTCCTCCTCGCTTTCTCTCTCCTGTTAGAAGCCGGACTGCAGAGCGTCACCTCTCATTTGTCTCAGGGAAACAATGGCACAGTTATATAACCACATTCTTCGCATACTTTCACAAAAAATAGGTTTTAACGAGACAAAGTTTCACCCCTTTTACTTCAGTCAGCCACAGATTGTTCATCTGTTTGTTACACCAGGAGCTGACCAGTACAACCAGTCAGGCAGCGATCTGATCCTCTGACACAGTGGCCCTGACCCCCAGGTTGAGTTATTCTGGGGGGTCGTGACTCTAAAAGCTTGAGAAGAGCTTTAACTCTTGAGAGAGCATTCATCATTTAGCTCATAGACCTGAATGGACCTGACGACTAGACTCAATCTGGGCTCTCTTACTACAGAGTATGCCAAGTTCAAACTTGTTTCCTCAAGAGTTGGAACTTGTGGAGTTGAGTCTAAACTCCAGAAAATGGCAGGATGCAATGTGCAACATGTGTCCACATCTAAATATTGTTAGGTTATTTTCAGACCAAAGATTCATTACGAGACGAAACAGTTTCAGAACGACGTGGAGTGTCAACTGGTTGTCTCAGCTCGACTCAAGTCAGTTTGTCAAGTTAAAAACTGAACAGCTGAAGTCAAAAGTTTTGGACGCAGGAAAGACGACCTACAGGGGCGTTTCCAGACTTTTTTGACTGGTGTGACACAAGATGGGCACTGACGTATGCAGGGGTGGCATCAAGTATGTATCAGAGCTTCCAGTCATTCCCAGTACTGTTTATGGATGTGATGTATGTACAAATATTCAGATAGACAAAAATAACACATTTATACCACATGGGGGAAAAAACTGCATGCTTTTTGTCCAAAACTGCAATTGCATTAGCATAAAGTTAGCATGTCTGCAAAGGGGAGACTCGTGGGTATCCATAGAACCCATTTTCATGACTTTAAGGTGTGTAAGAAAACTTAAAACGTTTCATTTAATTCTGTGAAGAAAACAAAATTAAATTGTTTGCTTAGAACGTACCATTGTTAAAATGCACAATTGCATAAAAACATCCTAAAACCATCAGAAAACCGAGTCACTACAACCGAGGTCTCAAACTCAAAATGTCTTGGGGCCACTGCTGTAATTGTCATCTGAGAGAAGAAGCTCAATATTCTGAAAATATTTAATTACTAACATCTACATCTTTCTTTATAAAGCCCTGAAACCTGCTCTGGATCCAAAAAACACATATTTTTAAAACAGAATTGTGTTTAACAACTAAGCACAGAGCCATGATAAGGTGGAACTCATTACCAGTGCACATCCACATATCCATGTACAGAACAAATACTTTGATTTACTGTTGTCACTTTTACATAATTTCAGTAATGTGTTAACACTATTAAACTTGAATTTAACAGTTTAATCTATTAAATATCCATTAAATACCTGCGAAAAATTATTTGCAAATGTCTTTTTATGTGAAAAAGGTTTCTTTAAAAGATTCAGAAAATATCTGTAAAATAAACTTACAGATGTTTTGTTTTTACAGTGTGTCTGTTAAATGAGTTTTTCTGACTGTACGTTAATATAATGAGATGAGCTGTTTTGTGTTTATGTGGTTACATACTGTGTATAAGTGTGTAGCCGATGCTAATGCTAATGGAGGATCCTAATAAACTGAAAAAACAAACCAGGAAGATTTCATGTCATTTACATTTTAGAACTGTTTGTTTTTGCATTGTTTGGTATTTAAACCTCCGTAACCCTGAACAACCGCTGAATATTTAATTAAATATCTTTAAACAGTCCATAAGAACTCCATCCTGGTCTGTCTGTAGGAGGCAGCAGGAGGGAGGCAGTCAGGGGAGTTTGGGAGGAGGTCAAAGTTCACTCAGCCAGGAAAACTTCATTCATTTCCTGCTGGCTGTCCGCCAACATTTTGACGCGCTTTGGGTTTTATTGGTTGTGACAGTCGGGACAAAAGCCCAGTGAGGCTGACCAGCAGAGCAGAACTGAGTCTGTCTCGGCCTGTGAATCATAAATCCATCAACACTGATCACCTGTCAATCAATCCACCTGCCAATCAATCCAAATGTCAATCAATCCACCAGTCAATCAATCCACCTGCCAATCAATCCACATGTCAATCAATCCACCTGCCAATCAATCAGAGTCTTTTTAGGATGTTTCTAACACAAGTTTTAGCCTGTTAGCAGACCTGCTTGTTCTCTTGTTCAGTCTCAAACAGTTCTGGTGTTTTTGCCTGGCTGGAAAATCAATCCACCAATCAGAGCTTTGATATGAGAAGAGGTTGAGAAGGAAGCTGAAACCCATCATGGACAACGTCTTCTTCTCATCCTCTTCGACACTGAGCTAAAGCAGTTCAGGAGCTTCACAGACTGATCCAGACCCAAGCCTCAAAACGGTTTGGATGCTCGTTTGTACCATCAGCCATCAGACCACAGCACCCAGTACCTCCCACCTCCACAAGCACAGCACCCAGTACCTTCAACCTCCACAACCA